GCCAAGCTGTAGTACGTTTTGTGGCTCTGGGAGTGGCGCTTTATCTTTTTTTATTTATTTTTTTGTCAGGACATTGTGCAACTTCTTCGCACTGAAATCTCTCAGTTCCTGTGCATGGACGCCTATCTGCAGAACGCAAAGCTCTCTACACAAGGCGTCTGTTATCGCGCAGAGATTCATAAATAACCAAACGCATATCAACCACACAAACCCTGTGACTGACTCATTCTGCAAACACTCATATATCCACCTTGTGGTTTATACCACGTTGTTGGTGTTACCTTGTTTGTTTATTTATATTTAGAGCCCAGTGATCGATGGCAGTGGTAAACCCCAGAGTCCACAAACCTAAACTTAGTGTCTTCTATAAATTAGCTTGGAACTGAAGTGATTTTCTTAGAAAATGCATCTAAAACTGTCATTTTATTGCCTTTTGCTGCCTGGTTACATTTTAAACCTGTCAAGATCATTATTTTTCACTCTTAGCCTTTTGCTAATCATTCTGTTTTTTCTGAGAAGGGTCTTACTAATGGGGGATTAGCTTCAGTCCCTTTTCACGTCATAAAGTTATTGCCGTTCACCTGATTGGGCTCCATTTGGTCAGAGGTCGCCTCTTTGTCTTCGCTTTCTAGCTGGAATTGCTGGTGTAAAAGGGCATTTTGACAGGTAGATGACGTATGTACAGACATTTTGTGACCTCATGAGGCTCACATCTTTCGACAGCATGCCTCCAGCGTTGATGCCAGTTAGAAAATCTACACCTCCCAAGGCCAAAGCGGAGAGAAAGCAGAGTGGATTGTAAGAGTAAACATATGTGGAGCAATTTTCCAAGAACTCTGCCTCAATGCAGGATTCATAGTCCAGTAGATTCCCAGGAGTTTTCCACAGGCCTCCCCACCGCAGGCAGGGTTACTCTACCAGCAGCTAAATCAGGCCATTCATCCTACAGGATGCACAAGAAATGTCTTTGTTTAATGAGCTTGATTGGAGTGTTTAGTGCAGATTTGCATGGAGCTCGATGATCTATTCCATAAATCTATAAAGTTGGTACTTCCTTTATTGGCTGTGAAACCCGATTATGTAACTGGGGGCTCGCCCAGATGGACGTACCTGTGGTTTCCAATCTGGCAGAGGGCTCATTAGCTGAGGTACTGGTGATTTATTCAGTTGCTCTCATTATATTGCTCCAGAGGTACGCAATGATGCACGATTCTAAGAAAACCAATGTGTGTTTGTGTGTGCTCCTGTTTTGGCATCAGAGTGAGGACCAGTTTCCAATTTAACCATCAAATTGAGGACTGTTTGTACTGAAGTAAAGACATTTTGGTAGTCCTCGCTTAGCTTTTTGCTGTTAGGTTTAGGACTAAGGTTTAAATTGAGTTTAGGTTGGGATTAGTTGTCTTATGCTTACGGTTATTGATAAGCGATAGAAAGGTTTGGAAGTGACTGAAAATAAATGGGAGCATATTTTCCTCACTAGACATGGCAAAAGGAGAATGTCTGTGTGTGTTAAGCCCTCATGCCATGGGTAAGAGGAGCATTTTTATGGTTGAAAAACCACTCTAACCACAAGGTCCAGCTAGTAACAGTTGTAGAATTTTCAAGATGATTTATAGTTGTTAAATTCAGCTTTAGCCTCCAAACAAATTGGGCTCTTCAATGACTTTTAGTTTATTTTAGAACAAATTTAACTAGTAATCGGTTATTGACATGTGCAGTTGTTATAAAAATAGTTTTCCTCTTTACAAATTAGCATAATAATAGTGATAGAGATTGTATTTTGGTGAAAGTTATCTATCAAGGAGAAACTCAATTAATTACAGCAATCTCTCATAGCAGGAGGCAATAGTTGGAAGAACTTTAAGGAGCTTACAGTAGCAGCAGACAGACCTTTAGAAAGATGTTTAAATCATTTTAATTCAAGTGCTGAAATTATTTAATTTAGACCGGAGGTCACGGATTATCGGATCCAGCTAATCCGGACCCAACCTGTTTTAAAACATTTACTGCATGTTGTTTGACGACAGTGTCTAACTTCACTTTCGCCACTTCTCCTGTTAATATGGTAAAGCCTTCCGGAGCACCCGGCACCAGGC